TTTAATTAAGTGCAAACATTGAAATCGCATGTTCCAGCGTGGGTTTGACCTGACCTGACCTTCGGTAGACTATCAGAACAAAAGCAGTGAAATAAAGCCTGTTAAAAATGTTTATGGACATCAGACAAAAGGATCCTGAAGCTCATAAGACTGGAAAAGGTTGCCTTTATCAGCACAGTCAGGTGTAGTTTACTAACGCAAGACCTTGTCCTTTAGCATCATTGCTGGTGTGGGAGTCTCACAAAGATCTGTGGATCATCCTCCAAGAGAAAAGATCTGCTGCTGTCTCTCGCACTTATACGTACATGTGAGAAAAATACCAAGCGGCTTGCATATGAGAGAAAGAAACCACTCTTCAAAAAGATGCTTTCTGGCCTTGTTCCAGCGACAAGACAAAAGCTGAACTTAGTTCAAAATGCTATGTTTGTGAAGAACTGCTGCAGAATCTCATTAAATCTTTGATAGTGTGGATTTTCAACATTCCCATGATTGTTTTCCAATTAAGAAAGTTTCCTCCCATTGAACAACTGCTCGTCTTTAGCTTGATTAACATGATTGTTAAGTCATAGTTATTTCTATAGTGCTTTTTTACAATAAACATTGTTTTAAAGCAGCTTTACAGAAAATAATGATGTTGATGTTTGTAATATCTTAATATCTCAATGCCTTATAGTCACATTCAGCAGATTAGAGCTGGGCGATAATATAGTTACATTTCTGCGACGATATAAACAATCAAGCTGTTGAGATTTGCTATAAAGTTTAGCTTAATGTGAATGTGCTGTATGTATGCGGATAAAGTTGGACAGACTTATATATATCCAACTTTATATAAAGAGCAGAAGAATATTGTATTTCCAGCTCAGGATACTTTTGCTAAATATGTTTCAGTTTCACTTTAGGTGTATGGAAGCTTTGAAATCAAAAAAATATAAAAGGTATTTGTGACTTTTTATCTCACGATTCTGACTTTTTAGCGCAATTCAAAGTTTATATTTCACAATTTGGACTTTTTTTCTCACATTTCTGTGAAAAAAGACTTGTGTGATATAAACTAGCAATTGCAAGAACAAAAATGTGAGAAATTAACTCGCAATAGCGAGAAAAAAAAGTATGAATTGTGAGATTAAAAACTTGCAATTGCGAGAAAGTAAGACTGAATTACAAGATATAACCCCGCAATTGTGAGAAAAAGTACAAATTATGATAAACTGGCTACTGTGAGAAAAAAGTCTGAATTGTGAGAAAAAAAAGGACAGAATTGTGAGATATAAACTCAGAGTTGTGAGAAAATGCACAAATGGTGAGATTTAAATGAGCAATTTTGAGAAAAAAAGTCTGAAGTCTGTGAGATCAAATATCGCAATTACCTTTTTTATTTTTCATATTCATAGCGGAAACAAGCTTGACTTTTTCCCCTGCAATTCTGTGTTTGTATCTCACAACTCAAATGTTTTTTTTTCTCAGAATTACGAGATAACATTTTTTTAAGTCTTTAAAACTATTTTTTTTCAATCCCATGGCAGAAATGAGCTTCTATACAGATGTTTCTCCTAAAAAAATATGAAACCAGTTTTGTATTGAGAAACAATTGACATATTAAAGAGATGTTTTGTTGTTGTTCTGTACAGATGCATATGTGTTCAGGATTCTGCACTAGCTCTTTCTGGTGTAATGATAGAGACAGCATTCTGCTGGTGTCATCCACATATTCCCCACTGAATATACACAAACCATCAGTCATGTGGAACTAAAGCTGAACTCACTGGTGCCTGTACATGTAATAGTCCCATGAAAGTCATAATTAGTAACATTGAGGTGGTTAAACTTAACTTGAGGTAGTTGAGCTCAAAATGAAGGCTCATTTAAGCAGTGTGTTATTTCAGCTCTAGTAGAGTCACCAAAGAGAATTGCAAAAAAAAAAAAACCAAGCAAGGTCTGGCTTTTAACATGGGCCACTTAACCTTTGCTGGTTGATGCAAAACAACACCATTGCAGGAGCCAGATGCATCTTTCTCCATTGACGCCCATTCAAAAATAGCTATACAAAAAGCTACTTTACAAAAAGTACAATTTTGAAAGCAACTTAAATAGCTGCATCCAAGCAACTTCCATTGAGATAAATGGGAATGTTAACTCTTTAAATGCTAAAGCTTTCTCCAGGTATTATAGATCTTTTTGAAGCAAAAAAAGATCCTGAACATTCCTCCCATTTACCATTGGTCAAAACAGATTGACCCGCCCACACTCAGACAGCCACACCCACACTCAGATAGCCCCACCCACACTCAGATAACCCCTGCTTTACATTTAGATAGCCCCGCCCACACTCAGACAGTCACACCCACACTCAGATAACCCCACCCACACTCAGATAACCCCTGCTTCACATTTAGATTGCCCCGCCCACACTCAGACAGTCACACCCACACTCAGATAGCCCCACCCACACTCAGATAACCCCTGCTTCACATTTAGATAGCCCCGCCCACACTCAGACAGTCACACCCACACTCAGATAGCCACACCCACACTCAGATAGTCCCTGCTTCACATTTAGATAGCCCCTGCCTCACATTCAGATAGCCCCGCCCACATTCATATATCCACGCCCCCAAATAATGAAACAGCCCTAGAATCAAATAATACCTATTGATCAAGCCAAAAGAGTTGAAAGGAAAAGATTTGAGTGAGGAAAAAAGGGTTCAGTTCTGGTTTTACTGGCAGAGAGATACAGTGAGCGTCAGATTGCTTCCATCCTTAAAATTTCAAAGACAGCCGTTCATAAAAACAAGGTCAAGCTGCAGACACTGGGGAGAACAAAGCTACAGACTGGCGGCAGAGGCGAAAATGACTCTCCTCTCCACGGATGATGGCCAACTCATTCGAATGTCCTCAACAACTGCAGGATGACATCAAGTGACCTGCAATGTGTGAAATGCACGGCGAGAATGGTTTGTAACAGGCTCCTGGGGGCCGGGCTGAAGTTGTGCAGAGTTAGAAAAAAAAGTCATTCATCAATGAGAAGCAAAGAAGAGCTAGGCTGAGGTTTGCAAAAGACCATAAGGATTGGACAGTCTCTGATGAGTCCAGTTTTCAGCTTTGCCCAACACCTGGTCTTCTAATGGTTAGACGGAGACCTGGAGAGGCCTACAAGCCACAGTGACTCGCACCCACTGTGAAATTTGATCATCGGTGATGATCTGGGGGTGCTTCAGCAAAGCTGGAATCAGGCATATTTGTCTTTGTGAAGGGTGCATGAATCAAGCCATGGTTTCCTGGAAGAAAACTTGCTTCCTTCTGCTCTGGCGATGTTCTCCAACTCTGAGAGCAGGACTATGCTCCACGCCACACAGCCAGGTCAAACAAGGTGTGGATGGAGACCCTGTCATGGCCAGCCCAATCTCCAGACCTGAACCCCATAGAAAACCTCTGAAATGTGACCAAGAGGAAGATGGATGGTCACAAGCCATCTAACAAATCCGAGCTGCTTGAATTTTTGCGCCAAGAGTGGCATAAAGTCACCCAACAGCAATGTGAAAGACTGGTGGAGAGCATGCCAAGATGCATGAAAGCTGTGGACCAAAATATTGATTTCTGAACTCTTCCTAAGTTAAAGCATTAGTATCGTGTTGTTTAAAAATGAATAAATGAAACGTCTGAGTAATCAAAAACCAGTTGAATATTGTGTGGTTTGTACTGCCGAATGTTCAGCAGTTCATCCCTGGTAAAATTTATTGTGTTTAAAAAAGAGGGAAAAAACTAACAAAAACATTAAAACAACTGGAGAGCTCCTCACCGAGGCATCTTGATGCATGTAATGTATTTTAATGTTAAAAAAAATACACTTAAAAGTATATTTAAGGTGTTTCAATTTCACTTTAGATGTATGGAAGCTTATTTTTGCTGTGGAGTCAAAAAAAAAATAATTAAAAAAGGTAATTGTGACTTTATTTCAAAATTTCTTTGAAAAAAGACAGAATTGCGTGATATAAATCAGTGTATTAGGACTGCACAATAAAATGTACTTTAATTGTGATCATGCTTCTCTTGATTTATAAAGCATAATCGCCTACAATATTTGCCCGCTGGTTATTCATCCTGAAAACTTTTCATGTTCATTTGGCATTTGCGTTATCGTGCATTGCTGTGGTTGCCAGATGTCAAGAGCTTAAATCCCCCAAACTGAGCTTTTTTTTCATACGTCGAAACTTTTTCTGTCTCGTGATTTACTTAATCATCCCAACCTGGCAACCATTCTGAAAACACAGACATATACAATGCCCCGCCCGAATTCAGATAGCCCCGCCCACACTCAGACAGCCACACCCACACTCAGATAGCCCCTGCTTCACATTTAGATAGCCCCGCCCACATTCAGATAGCCCCTGTCTCACATTCAGATAGCCCCGCCCGTCTCGTGCTTTACTTAATCATCCCAACCTGGCAACCATTCTGAAAACACAGACATGTAAATCTCTATTGCAATATTATGCTCAAATAAAAGCGTAACACAGCCAGTCTGTTTTCTTTCACATGGTCATTTTCGCTGTTTGATGACAATAATCGTGATTAAATTTTTTTGAGCAAAATTATTATAATTAACAGTTAAACCATTTTCGTGTATCTTTATCCCAGATGAAGTTGTCAAATCTTTGTGTAGCCGTGACCCAGAAAACAGACATTACGGTCTCCTCCGTAACACTGACCTTTCCTTCTCTTCTTCTTCTACCTTCTAAAAATCATTTCATCCTTGGCACATTCAGATAGCCCCGCCCGTCTTGTGTTTACTTAATCATCCCAACCTGGCAACCATTCTGAAAACACAGACATGTAAATCTCTATTGCAATATTATGCTCAAATAAAAGCGTAACACAGCCAGTCTGTTTTCTTTCACATGGTCATTTTCGCTGTTTGATGACAATAATCGTGATTAAATTTTTTTGAGCAAAATTATTATAATTAACAGTTAAACCATTTTCGTGTATCTTTATCCCAGATGAAGTTGTCAAATCTTTGTGTAGCCGTGACCCAGAAAACAGACATTACGGTCTCCTCCGTAACACTGACCTTTCCTTCTCTTCTTCTTCTACCTTCTAAAAATCATTTCATCCTTGGCCAAAAGCTCTTACTGGGGTGGGACCCTTTCAACAGGTACACCTTTGTACCTTATTTACCCCTAAAGGTGCATGTTAATACCTACAGTAAATGGTGCAATTTAGTGTCTTTTGAATGGGTACCGCCCCAGTGACAGCTTTTGTACCTTTTTTCTGAGAGTGTGTCGATGTGTGGAGCGTAATAGGAAATAGAGCAGTGGGACACGGTCTCATAAGAAGTGTTTTTAGGATTCAGCTTTTTCAGTTTAGCGTTTGTTTGTTCACTGAAGTGGTATGAAAGCTTTGGGGAGGACACAGCAAAGAAAATATGAACACTTTTTGCAGCATTTCCAGCTCATCTCAAGGTACACTGCAAAAAAATGACTTTTTAAAAAGTATTTTTGTCTTGCTCTCCAGTACAAAATACATTTATTTGAGAAATGACTTGAGATATTATAAATAAATAAAAATATCTGCCAATGAGGGTTAGAAAAAGGTCAACTTTTATTTCTTGTTTTATGCTTAAACTTAATTTTGATTTTTTTTCCAGAAAATAAGACTTAACTCATTTTGCTTCTTAATTAAATGTATCTGATTTAAGAATTTTTAGATATTTGCAAAGAAAAACAAGACAAAAAAAAAAAATCAAGTACATCAGAAAAATAAACTTGATTCAAAAGGAAAATAATTGTATTTTTATGACCCCATCAGCAAATATGTATTATTGTTTACAAGTATAAAGTCAGTAATATGAATCTTACGTTTTAAATCTTATCTCAAAACGTGTTGTTTAGGTTTGCTTTTAGTTTGTTTGTTTATTTATTGTTTATGTATTAAATAATTTTTGATGTTTTTATCAATTTACTATGTAAAGCAGCTCCTTTCAAGGCTCTATATAAACTTAAATGTATTTATTATTATTATTATTATTCATTTTGTGTTAACAATTTCAATAATTTTTTTATTTTTATATTTTCATTTTAAGTTAAAGTTTTAGTCATTTTATTAGTTTCATTTCTTTTAAATGTCTATATAGTTTTTTATTCATTTTTATTTCAGTTTCAGTTTTAGTTATTTTAGTCCATCATGTTAAACTAAATGAAAATGAGAAATGTTGCCTTGGCAACAAGCTGAAATACAGTAAGTTTAGCTTTTTTATATTTTAATATATTTCATGTAACAAAAGTATATTTCATAGCTCTAATTTTCGTTATCTATAATATCCCTCATCATTATGACTTAATCTCAGAGCTCACAGTAAATCGGTCAGGATTACCCACCGCAGTGCCTAGAAAACAACATTAGCTGTTAAAAATGATGATGCATCACTGAGAAACCTTTAAAATAGCATGCTCTTGAATGATAATTTCACAAATGTGTTGCTTTAATGAACAATTTGGTTGACAGCATTGGTCCCAGAGGCAAAGTTGTTCAGAATGAGGAGATCTATCATATGATATGAAGATTTGTGAATATATGTACATGTTCTACAATTTGAGGTCATTTTCTATATACAAATATTGTATTTTTGAGGCCTTTTCAACTGTTATAGCGCCACCTATGATCCGATCGCCATGAAACTTTGCATGCTTGCTAAGAGTCCAGTTTTGAGTTTTCGTTTAGGTTTTTGGGTATATTTGGCCACGCCCCTTTTCTAAATGACCCCGTTAAAGGTAACCAAAGAACAAAATCCAATTTTTTTTGATAATTATTGATCTAGAGAGTCCAGAGAATATCACTGCAGTGGTTTGATCGAGATCGAGCCGAAAACCCTAGGACTAGTTCGCAAAAGTGGGTTTTTAACATATTTGTGAATAAGAGGCAAAGTTGTTCAGAATGAGGAGATCTATCATATGATATGAAGATTTGTGAATATATGTACATGTTCTACAATTTGAGGTCATTTTCTATATACAAATATTGTATTTTTGAGGCCTTTTCAACTGTTATAGCGCCACCTATGGTCCGATCTCCATGAAACTTTGCATGCTTGCTAAGAGTCCAGTTTTGAGTTTTCGTTTAGGTTTTTGGGTATATTTGGCCACACCCCTTTTCTAAATGACCCCGTTAAAGGTAACCAAAGAACAAAATCCAATTTTTTTTGATAATTATTGATCTAGAGAGTCCAGAGAATATCACTGCAGTGGTTTGATCGAGATCGAGCCGAAAACCCTAGGACTAGTTCGCAAAAGTGGGTTTTTAACATATTTGTGAATATTTAATGTCAGATGTGTTGGAGTTTTTCAATGTGCACTCGGCTTCATTTTTTCGATCCGTCTGTCTGACAAACAGTCCAGTGACTAACGCATCGGAAGCAGCCTGTATCCCATCTGTGCCTCCTCAAAGGAAAGCCTGCGATCACAGTCTTATCAATCTTATCTTTCTGACCCACTTTTGCTTCGGCGCAAATCATCAATTTACTGTATGTCATTGAGACAAAGACCTGCGGTGGATGCATCGCTTCTTTTATTCACACCACTGTATTACGTGAGAAAACAAAGGCAGATTGGAAGGTTATATTTGAACTTTTAATGATTTCCACTGCCTGTGTTTGTCTGTCAGTATTACTGTGGCCATGAAGGGTCATCCTCGCTGGAGAACGCACACATGTATACGCAGGAGCAGCTCTCATGGCGCTGGGATCAGTGTTTGTGATCAGCAGCTTCATGGCTCTTGGAGTTACTGGCACTTTTCTCGGTAAATCCATCCACTTATGCTTCTGCTCCACATCCATCCTTTCATACACATGCCTTACAAACAGAGCCTAAAATGAACACTCGCCAAGTGCCAAGCGCCAAATGTGAGTAAAAATCAGTGTTGGCAAGTATAAAAACAGCCGGTAGCTGTTTTATTAATGCTAACGATGCATGAGAATGGTTTACCTGCAGTTTTCCTCCAAAATAAAAGCTCTATGGTTTAACGTTTGAAAGCAAAGAAAAAAAACAACCAAAAATATTTGTATTGTTATTGTGCTGTTGTTTAATTGTACAATTCTACTACTACTACTAAAATGATAATAACAATAATAATATTTATATAAATGAAAATAATTATTATGAAATACAGAATAGTATTATAGTGACATTTCTTTACTGATTTCTTTCATTTTTATAATTTGATTAAATAACAACATAAATTAATTAATTAAAAAATTTGACATGTTTCCCCAATTTGTTCTGCCTTTTTTAATTAAATAATGCACATGCTGTTTCATGCCTGGTAAAAAATATATATTTATTTCTGCCTAATTTTCTCAAGTCACCTGTCATTGACAGTTGAGGAAAAATGTTTTTTTAGTTTTACATATACAGTACGGTTTGTTTGTGGTCTGTACGATTTTGAAAGAAATGGCTTCTACATTTATTTGGCCAAAAATACAGTCATATTCTGAAATATTATTACTTTTTTAACTAACTGTTTTCTATGTGAATATATTGTAAAACTGTGATGCGCAGCTGTATTTTCAGCATCATTACTCCAGTCTTCAGTGTCACATGATCTTCAGAAATCATTCTAATATGCTGATTTGCTGCTCAAGAAACATTTCTGATTATTATCAATGTTGAAAACGGTCGTGCTGCACAATATTTTTGTGAAAACTGTGATGCATTTTATTTTTCAGGATTCACAGATGAATAGAAAGTTCAAAAGAACAGCATTTATTTGAGATAGAAATCCTTTGAAACATTATAAATGTCTTTACTGTCACTTTTGATCAATTGAATGCATTAATTTCTTCAAATATAAACATATGCGTGGTTAGTCATCTTTTAGTGTCCGTTTTTCGACTGTATTTCAGAGACCCGAGGTTAGCAATGCTCATCCAACACACGTCTAAAAGGCACGTAATGTTCTGTGAGGATGTTCTAACTCATTGTGATTGTCAGCGTTCACACCTCTACATCTGACCTACACTGACCATGCTGTACCTCAAATGTAGTTCGTGTGGACACCTGTTTCTGACCAATCACAGTCAGTGAGAGCTCTGATGTAGGTCAGCCGGCTTTTACTGGACATTTTACAAAGGGACCAGCAGTTGGTGGATGGAAACATTTATTGTGCCTTTGCCGTTATAAAACCCATGTATGTTGTGCCAAAATGACTAAATTAATAGTGCTTTTTTCTAGTATTATTTCTGTTGAAGTCTATCAATGCATCTGTGCATCACTCAGAATTGAATTGAGAATGCAGTTTAAAATTCATTCCTGGGGCCTGTTGGACAAACAGAGCCACTAAGTTAAGACCGTCTTAAGAGCTAGTTTGATTAGTTCAAATTAGTCTTACTTTTACTTTTCTGATTCAGATTGGGCCAGTCTACCTTTTATGACCAGTCTTGATGAAAACAAATTAGATAACTAACTTTTTAAGACTAGTCTAAACAGTTTATTCAACCGGCCAAAAGAATTGCGATTGCAACTATAGGATGTTTGAATTGCAATTTGTAAGGAAGCAGAACTAAAATGAATCGAAATGCAATTTTTTTTTGTTTAAAAATAGTTTGAATTGAAATATTGAATTTTGAATGGTTTTAGATAGATAGATAGATAGATAGATGGATAGATAGACGGATAGATAGACAGATAGATAGACAGACAGACAGATAGATAGATAGATGCTAGTGTAAATGCAACCACATTAGCGATGGTTTTAAAATAGAAATGTATGCATATTTAAGTAGATAATGCTTCATTTGTATATTTAAGTGCGTGTGTGTGTGTGAGTGTGTGTGTGTGAGTGTGTGTGTGTGTGTGCTGCAGTTAAAACGTGTTGTTATTACATTTTAAGACAATATATAAAGGCAATATATATTATTTAAGCTTTAGTTTTAAAACACCTATCAGTTTTGATTTTTAACATTTACCATTAAAAATGTTTGTGTTATTTTAACGTAAAAATAAACATGTTTTTTCCCGTTGTAAATTAATAAGTAATTCATCAGAGAGTTTAAAATGCACAGTTGTGTCAATGTTTTACTCCAGTTTTTATGTTAAATGAATGGGAAACACTGTATATTAAGGTCTCATTATGTTCGTTAATGCATTAACTAACAATTGACAGTATTTATTACAATTTATTAACATTGGTTTAAAAAAATGTAGATATTTATTGTTAGTTCATGTTAGCTGAGGTCCATTAAATAATGTTAACAGATACAATGCTGTAAATCAACATGAACTGAGATTAATAAATGCTTTAGAAGTATTTTTCTTAAAGTAAAGTGTTACTGATGAATGAATGTCTGCACAAAGCTCCTCTTCCACCTGCTAACCTGCATTATGAGAGAGAGAGAGAGTGTGTGTGTGTGTGTGTGTGTGAGTGTGTGTGTGTGAGTGTGTGTGTGTGTGTGCTGCAGTTAAAACGTGTTGTTATTACATTTTAAGACAATATATAAAGGCAATATATATTATTTAAGCTTTAGTTTTAAAACACCTATCAGTTTTGATTTTTAACATTTACCATTAAAAATGTTTGTTATTTTAACGTAAAAATAAACATGTTTTTCCCCGTTGTAAATTAATAAGTAATTCATCAGAGAGTTTAAAATGCACAGTTGTGTCAATGTTTTACTCCAGTTTTTATGGTAAATGAATGGGAAACACTGTATATTAAGGTCTCATTATGTTCGTTAATGCATTAACTAACAATTGACAGTATTTATTACAATTTATTAACATTGGTTTAAAAAAATGTCGATATTTATTGTTAGTTCATGTTAGCTGAGGTCCATTAAATAATGTTAACAGATACAATGCTGTAAATCAACATGAACTGAGATTAATAAATGCTTTAGAAGTATTTTTCTTAAAGTAAAGTGTTACTGATGAATGAATGTCTGCACAAAGCTCCTCTTCCACCTGCTAACCTGCATTATGATTTACACAAGTAATCAGTTCAGTATTGCTTTGTATTGGTGAATGAAGTGTGTTTTCATTCATAACAGCTGAGCGGTATATAACAGAGAGAATAACAGAGAAATTCATGCTCCGAAAAATGAAACCTAAAGAAAAGAAACTCGGACAGCCAGGTGCATGTTACCATCAGACTTTTGTCCTAAAACTGGGTCAGAGAAAAAGAGGAAAGGAGGGTTAAAACCCAGATATTGTGGGGCTAGTTACACAGTCCTGATGACAAAAGGTGCTCTACTTCTCAGCTGTTGGAACCAGATGATGAAATCAAACCTGCCTTTTGTTCAGGATGACCTGGAAACAGAGCAGTTAGCTTAAGCTAGTTAGTTATGAGTCCTCAACATGCACATTTGATGCACTTTTCTTTTCTCCCTGTATGATCATTATTGCAGTATATCTCAGATTCAGTCCACGCTGAATCATGATTCTTCATTAAACGGCTGAGTTTTCATAAAACTGATTTGCTCGAAGCTGGAGAGATCAGTGGCCTTCCTGGAAATCTGTCTTCCAGGCCTGCTCGAGCAAACCTGCTGGAGATTTGGGAAAGCAGTGTTTGTGTAACATCTCATCTTCGTCTGCTCAGGTTTTGAAGCAGCACAGACGGATCCCACAGTCTTGTTTGTCTGATTCAGCTGTTGAATTAATATGGCGCCTGATAGAGCAGTTGAAAGACGTATTAGTAAATTAACTCATCAGTGTCATTTCATTGTTTATTTTCTCAATTTATGTTTTAAAAATCATTGCAGTAATTAAATATTTGCTAATAAAGTAAGTAAGTAACAAGCTCAAAATAAAAAAAAACTGTATATTATCATATTATCATTATTGGTGTTATGTATACATATACATATATATTAGTTGCACGCAAAATAACATGCATTTTATCACAAATTTGTTATATGTAACATAAAAAAATAAAACTATAAAAAAAATGTTTCCAAACAATGTACACATACAATAAAGTTTTGTTTGTATTGTATGTGCATATACCTTTTTAAACAAATATTTAATGACTACGTTTTTTTCAGTCAAAATGGAAACATAAATAAAAAAAGACTGATGAATTTTGTCATATTTTTTATGTTTTTCAAAGAATATAAACCTAGACCTATAGATAAAATAAACCTCTCTGTCGCCAATCAGAAAAGCTGAATGCGTCTCATGCCGAGAAAGAAATGTGTAATTTGAAAACGACTTGAAATGATGCAAGAATCGGATCTATTTTGTAGCAACTGTTTGACGCCACCGGGTTTGACGTGTGAACAATTTATTTATTTGGTTGTGAATGTGGACTTTATAAAACCTTGACAACAGTGAGCGGTCTGCTAGTTTGTTCACTAGGCAACCGTTGATGGAGCAAACGGCCCGTGGTCTCCTAAACTGTAAAGCTCTTTACTGTTGGCCGCTCTGTGTGTCTCAGTTTCTAAAATCGATCCAGTCCAGCGTAGTCTATGCCTGTGTGCTCATGCGTCAGATGCCCCAGGCATGAAAGAGACCGGCTGCCAGCCATGTGTAGAGAGAGAAATATGGACACGTGTAGCCCATTGACCCTCGCATGCTTGTGCCAGGGATATGAAAACACTTGTGCTGCGTCATGACATGAATCATCAGTTCACCCGCTGAAAGGCTAGCTTGGCAGCGGATGCGTGGCAGCTAATTGGTTAGATAGCGGGAGTCAATTTGTCTAGTTTGTCTCTAGTTTGTAAATTAATATTTACCTCACATTATCAACAAACAACTAATACTGTAATATTTTTGTATGCTTAGGAATAGTTCACCTAAAAATTAGCATTTGCTGAAAATGTGCTCACACTCGGGCCATCCAAGATTAGGATGAGTTTGTTTCTTCATCAGGTTTGGAGGAATGTAGCATTGCATCAGTGTCTCAGCAATGGATGCTCTGCAGTGAATGGGTGCCGTCATAATGAGAGTCCAAACAGCTGATTAAAAACATCACAATAATCCACAAGTAATCCACAGCACTCCAGTCCATCAGTTAACATCTGGAGAAGACAAAAGCTGAAACAAATCCAGCATTAAGACGTTTTTAACTATAATACGAGTCCATAATCCATAATAATGCTTCCTCCAGTGAAAAGTCAATCTCCTGTTGTCTCTCACATCAAAATCCAGCCACATATTTGTTTAGAGCTATTTTGGACTTCAGTTAAAAGACCAGACCACTTTTTCACTGGAGGAAGTGTTATTATGGATTATGGACTTGTATTTTAGCTGGAAAAAAACCAGTTTGAAGTTAAAAACTTCTTAATGATGGATTTGTTTCTTACAAAGACATAAAAGGTTAAATATATTATCACACAGCTCTATATTTAAAGTTGAAAAAGTCAAAGATTTCACCAGCTTTCTTTTAAATTGTTACCGTAAGCGAGTTTAAAAAGTACCTCAGGCTCATTGGAAATACATGCCTGTGGTGACGTTTTTAAAATGATATTATGCTGCTTTTTTGCATTACTGAAAGCTTTGAACATTTGCACAAGAAAAAAACCGGGGACAGTTAGAAGCAGCAGCAACTATACATTTTTCAGTACTGCTTATACTGCAGTATAAGTGATTTTTACTTTGATAAGTAAAAAGTCAAAGATTTCACCAGCTTTCTTTTAAATTGTTACCGTAAGCGAGTTTAAAAAGTACCTCAGGCTCATTGGAAATACATGCCTGTGGTGACGTTTTTAAAATGATATTATGCTGCTTTTTTGCATTTTGCAACACTTTCAAAGTGAAATGTCCAGTGAATGGCACTAAACGCAAGTTCAGTTTTATCTGAAACTGATGAATGCGAATCTGACAATGTTTTGGTCACTAAAAGGTTAATGTATCACGTGTGAAAATAACAACTAAAACCGACTCTAAACCTACCCGATAGTGTTAACAAAAGCAGCAACCATGTCATGTTATCTTGCTTCTACAAGTCTCTGAGCTCTTTTATGGTGACTGGTGTTTGACGGACTCGTACCCGAGCGCTTCTCATCACAAGTGCAATGCTGCACCGGGTGCGCTACCGAGCAAGTTTACTACATCAGAAAAGACACACATATGGAGCTGCTTATGAGATGACAACATCAAAATGTATTAGTTTACAAATCATGCACTGTGGTAAAAGTGTTTTGAGCTCATAACATAGTATTGTGCACAAAAATAAGTCTTCATTAATCGACAATCTGCCACTGTAATCATAATCTGTGTGAAAAGGAATAAAGGTTGTTGGTGTTTTACTGCCACTGGTGTTCATTTCAGATGGAAACTGCAGTGAATTGTATGTACAGGTACGTTTTTGGTGTTTTGCAGAAATGTAGGTAGATGCATGTTTTTTCACTGAGGCTCTGTCGGTAAAGTGCTTCCTCCACCAGTACATTTCAGTGACAAAAAAAAAAAAAGCTAATACAGTTTCTTCCACTAATCAACGTCAACACACACGCTCGCTGTTAATGTTTCCAAGCCCTCTTACATGTCGTCTAACCTCTCTTGATCAGGAAGAACCACGTAGGCACTACGCCAACACACGGCACACTCTTAAACCACCTCTCATGCTGTTCCTCCTTCATCCTCTCCTCTTTTCCATCTACTCTTTGTCCATTCACTGGTAGATTGACCAAATGTTCCTATCTGCTCTGTAGGAGATCAAGCATCTTAATGCTAGTTTCAATACACAATCATACAAAGGTGCACAGTCTTATCCATCCACCTCGACCACTTTCAAACAAGCTGTTATGATCTGCTTTTCTTGATTTGAAGAACATTACATGAATTTACAGAAAAGTAAAGCACACATAGTAGTTTGTATAAAATATAGCAATAATATACACTACTGTTCAAATGTTTCAAGTTTTTTGAAAGCACTCTGTACTCACCATTTGATGAAAATCCAGTAAAAACTGTAATATTGTGAAATATTATTAGTATTTAAAATAGCTGTTTTCTATGTGAATCTCTGTTAAACTGTAATGTATTCCTGTGATCAAAGCTGTATTTTCAGCATCATTACTCCATTCTTCAGTGTCACATGATCTTCAGAAATCATTCTAATATGCTGATTTGATGCTCAAGAAACATTTCAGATTTTGTAACATTTTAAATATAGTTACTGTCACTTTTAATCAATTTAATGCATCCTTTCTGAATTAAAAAATATAATTTTCTTTCATAGTGTACCCTAAAATAGATGCAAAACCAAATAATTAATCAAAGCCACAAGCGATTTATGCAAAATGAGTCACCCCCATGTCTACATCTTACATTTCTATTTTATCCAATATTCCATAGTGTTTTTTTTTAATTGCATGTGTGAAAGCAGAAATTCGGGAATTATTCCTGAAATTATTTCAGAGCTAGAAGTAAAATGCTGGTGAGCCTCAAATCATAAAAAAAAAAAAAAAAAAAAAAAAGGTGTTTAAATGATTTTCACTCATAAATTCCTAGTAAATTTCACGAACAACTACAAAGAAACTCATTGAATTAAACGTGATGTTTTGAAGTAGAAAAACTGAAATAAGTTTACTGGAGTAGAAAAATCATTCTCTTCTCACTGAGTGAAAAAAAACCCACACAAATTCCATACAAACCGCATTTCTATCAATTTCAAAATCTTGTTAGATCAGATTTCATTGGCAGTGCAGGTGGTTTATTTCATCATCCTGGTCCTGACACGCATGTGACGTCATACTGCATGCGCCATAGAGGTTAAGAATAGGTGCTGAGAACACAACAATAACAAGAAGTTAGTAAATCAGCTGAAGTCATGAGAGAACAGCATGCAACCGGCGCAGCTCTAATTTCCTCGGTTCTGTGCGGCAATGCAGCAGGAAATTAAGTAGCTCCTGCACTCCAGCATCATGCCTGTACAAGTCATGTTTATTTATATAGCGCTTTATACAATACTGATTGTGTCAAAGCAGCTTTACAGAGTCAAACAGGAAAATAGATGGTCAATAATGCAAAGAGTCATTTTCCAGATAAAGTCAGTTCATTGATGATTCAGTGATGTCAGTGATTCAGTTCTCTTCTAATAGTGTCTGTGCAATCAGTCAAGCGTCCCCAACTAAGCAAACCAAAGGCACCAAACTTCCATCGGTGACAGAAATGGAGAAAAAACCTTGTACAGACAGAGTAGAGCACAGATTTCCCAGTTTGGCATCGTGCTAAAAGCCTACATCATTACTATAGCAACCAAAGACAACTTGCACTGCCTAAACACCTACTGTACATCCCATCGGATCACCTGCATATATTAGATGTGATGTTCAGTTCTAATAATTGGGTTTGTAAAACAAACTGAGATGTCTGCAGTGTGTTTTTCAGCATGAACACACTGTGCTGGGCTTATTTTCTGTGCTAATTATCCGGGTTAACTGGAGATTGTGTTCTTTCATTTGTGCTGCTGCATTAGCATGCATTAGTGAAAAGAAACTAGTTACTTTCCATGAAATGTCAGATGAGAGTGGCTCTTACAGCCCACGTGTAGTGAAGGCACATTCACACACACGCTTTTATATGCCTTTCAATAATTCTGTCCGGGCAAACTCATTTATTTACTTTAATGTTAGCAAAAATGTACCTTTTTAACACACATGATATTGCCAGATCTAGATCATGAATATTTCTTACTGGATATCACAACTTAATTTTCTAATCTTGTTGTCATGAATTGTAATAGTATTTGATATTATGTTAGATAATATTTGTCTATATCAAAATATATTACTGTCCATCACATCTTAATTTTCTAATCTTGTTGTCATTAATTTTGCTATTATTTAATATCATGTTAGATAATATCTGTCTATATTATAATATCATAATTAGTATCTGGTTTTGTTTTTTTTTTACTTCATCTATGAGAATGTATGAGTCATCTCTTAATTAGTCATCACCATTTTCTTAATTTTCTAATCTTGTCATGATTTTGTATTTTATTTTATATAATTTTACATAGTATTTGGCTGTTATTAAATCAAAAAATGATGTTTTGTGGTTTTGCTTCATCAGAGAAAATATATCAATCATGAATATTTCTTACTGGCCATCAAATCTTAATTTTCTAATCCTGTTGTCAGGAATTTTAATTACTTAATATTACTATTATTATATATTTTAATAATATATTTTAATTAATTAATATTATTTTAGATCATATTTGCCTGTTATTATATCAAATAATATATTTTTTTAAAAATCAAATTTTTTCTAATCATCTTGTGATGAATTTTAACATGAATTTTAATAGTATTTCATGCTATCTATATTATTTTATAGATATTTAGCTGTTATTATTATTAATTTTCAGTTTTTTGCATGCATGCATTCATTACATTTCTTGCCTCACATTTTGAAATAAAAAACATTGATATAAGATATCTTGAAATGTATACACCATGAGGATTGTGTATTAGTACAGCACTTTTTTGTCTTGAGTATCCTCATGAATGATCTAATAACAGGTGTGCAGGTCTCTCAGGTAACCGCAAACTGTGATTGTAGGATTTCAGCCTTAAGGAGACTCAATCTCTTATCTGAAACTGAGAGGAATGTTTCTTTGTTCAAGAACAAGAGCTTGTGAGAGCTTTTTTTGTCAATGAAGCAGTTTAAATTGCATCTGTAGATGTGTATCAGTAACTGTGACGTAGTGAGTTGCGTTTGCTTTGTGATTTCAGAGGATCGGTGAGCGACAGACAGGCAGGTTTACATGCAATCTGTGCTGAAAGATCTGCATCTTTCACCGTGCTGTTCGCTGGCTGTCATTCACAGAGCTCTACTGCGCATATAACCCATCCCTTGCATTTGTCGTTTCGGCCGGTTTATTTGTAGTGCAGTTGCAAGGCTATTTAACCCTCTGCTACTGTTTAGTCATTTTATACACTCTCAGAAAAAAAAGGTACAAAAGTTGTCACAGGGGTGGTACCTTTTCAAAAGGCACAACTTTGTACCTAAAGAGTCCATGTTGGTACCTTAAAGGTTCATATTAGTATCTAAAGTGTACATCTTAGTACCTAAAAGGTACAAAATTGTACCTTTTGAAAAGGTACCGCCCTGGTGTCAACTTTTTGTACCTTTTTTTCTGAGAGTGAAAAAAAACAATTATTTTAATTAATTTTACTTTGCCTGATTGGTTCGAAAAATCATGGGCATGATTAGAAAAGGTCTTTAAACAATAGTTTGTGTCTGACCCTATATAAAGCCACAATATCAACTCTGACAAGTGTTAATTATTTTAAAGATGTGTTTTTTTCCATGTCCTGAAAAGTAGCGGTTTCGAACACACAGGCTTTGAGGTTTCCGCTCGACAGTGATTGTAAATTCTAATGCATTTTTAACATTATCATCATGATACATGTAGTCTCACTATTAGCTTTGACTTTTAGCTGTTATAGTCTTTCGAAGGACAACAACTTTAAAACTATTGGCTTTACATCATCAAGCTGTCACTTTATTTTGGAGCGAGGCCCTAAAATTCATGGCAAGATTAGAAACATATATATTTTATATAGAGAGAGCTATAATTTTCTTTATTTCTTTCCACCAGATAGCACTACCCTTACCAAAAAGTAGTATACTTCAAGTTTATTTTATTAAGTATACTTAAGTAAAGTTCAAGTATATTTTTAAGTATACTTTATGTAGTAAGTATACAAATCTCAGTGTACTAGTAGTATACTTGTAAGTGTACTATTTCAATACTCCTTGGGACTAAATTGGCCCACTTTCTAGTATATAAAAGTATACTTTTAAGTATACTTTAAGTATAACAGTAGTAAACTTTGAGTACACAACTAGTTTACATCAAAATGTTTAGTTTGTACTGCAACTATACTAAAAGTGAACTTATAGGTATACTGATAGTTTACTAATTAAATACTTGTAGTAGCATTTTTAGTACACTTTGAAGTATAGTCTCAGTAAACTACTAGTTTGGTAGTTTTATACTGCAAGTATACTCGTAAGTTTTCTTTAAGTGAACTTTACATCATACTTTAAGTATACTACTATGTCCCTATTTAGGTATTAATTTGTATATATTTTGTTACATGAATATCTGAACATACAAAACATCAAAAGAAAGAACAGGGTATCTGCTTGTAAACAAAAATTTTTTATTCTAGCTTCATGCATTCTTTTTTTAAACACTTGAATGTGGATAAGTTTCATAAATAAAAAAAATAAAGAAATCAACAACATTTTGAACAAAAAGCTGAAAAAAGACTATGAATTAGATTCAGAGTGATAATCAAAACGTAGGTAAAGTCGATCAACACCCCAAAGCTTGACAGTTATTATTACCTCTTCATTGGTCGACATTTTATTCCATAATGTTGCACAGTTTTGATATTGTTTTATGTCTGATGATCGTGTTAGAATACATGTGGAAGCATTTGTTGTTTCGGTTTCTTCTTCACTTGTGTTTTTTGGAAATTCTGTACAGAAGATGTGTACTAGCGCCCCCTACAGTATAACAATGAAAACGTTCTCGGCGCACAAGTATAGCTCAAATATATTTAGACTTTTTCTAAGTATAAGTCAAGTATACTTAAATGTCATTTTAAGTATATTTCTGAGAAGTACATAAAAATTAGACTGAAAGTATACTTT